ACACACACACACACACACACACACACACACACACACACACACACACACACACTAACACATTCAGACACATGGTGGCAGGTGATTTTTCAAGGCTGCTGAATTTAATTTAATGCAAATATTCCTCCATCCACGTTCTTTACTCCTCTCTCCTTTCTGAGTCCTGGCTGGTGGGTCCAGCAGTCGCTGTGCAAGAAGCGGGGTACACCCTGGACAGGTCTAAATGCCATCACAGGGTCACACGGAGACTAAAAGCTATCCACGCTCTCACCTACAGACAATAGGTTTACCAGTTAACCCAACATGCWTGTTTTTGGTCTGTGGGAGGAAACCAAGGTACCCTTAGGAAATCCACACRTGCAAACTCCACCCAGAGAAGCCCCAGGCCAGGAAGTGATCCTGACACTTCCTTGCTGAGAGCCCTTGGCAGCAGCTCAAACCAGCTCTAATCATCAGATACTTTCCAAGATTAACCTTCAGGGTGGATATAGCTCGCTAGAAGCCTCTCACCGAGGACCTATCCACGTCATCATTTACCCAGAATGCTTTGTGTGTAGAATAAAATGGCCTCGTCCATGTAATATATTTTTTAACTTTTAGTTTAAAAATAATAACAACTAAACAGCCTACAGTATGTTTACAGTCTTTATTTTACAGTTAAAATACATATTTATTAAATAAAGTCTAATGTTACAACTAATCGGGGATTCCTTTAAGACAGAATGCTGAAAGATCCTCATCTGTTCTGCTCCATTGAAAACATGGATTGTCTCTTTGTTCTTGTGACCTAAAAACACATTTTGCATTTTTATCACCACTGTATCTGATGCTTTTTGTACTCTTTGCTTTGACAGTAGATCATGGCAGATGTGACCACTGTGTCACCAAATCAAACATCYATCAACATCACCCAAGGTACATCAGAACACAGCGATACAGAGCTGGTGCTGATCGGTGCTGCCATGGCTCTCCTCATTGTCGCCATCGTTTTTGGTAAGTCCTGCAACAGATCTGCCGTGTCATGCACAAAGAACGGACTGTCTGAAGATCAAAGCTGAATCTATTCATAGTCGGACTGCAGTGTTCATTTCCCCCCTCCTGTGTAGGTAACGTGATGGTTATCACCGCCATCCTCCGGTTCCAGCGACTCCAAACAATCACCAACCTCTTCATAGCATCCCTGGCTGTCGCTGACCTCATCATGGGCGTGGTCGTGGTTCCCTTCAGCTCCAGTAACATCCTGCTAAATTCCTGGAAGTTTGGGAATGTTATGTGCAACTTCTGGACAGCAACAGATATACTGTGTGTGACGGCCAGCATAGAAACGCTGTGTGTGATTGCTATGGATCGCTACCTCGCAATCATGTCACCTCTCCGCTACCCAACGCTGCTCACCAGGTAAACCAAAGCGTCTTCCTAGTTCAAGATRAAATCAAACATTTTWGACARAAGRGAACTACYGTATTTATTCAAGTATAATACGTAAAATTAAATCCATAAAATCATCCATAAAGTTGGGGGGTAGTACTATACTCGGATAAATGTTTTTACTTATGTATTTTAAAGGAAATATCGGCTTCWTTCACAAAATGCATGAGTCCTTAAATGAGACCGCGTCATAAAAAGCAGTTGAAACGAGCTTACCTCTGACACTCCTCCGTGCTTCAGAGCGAGATAATAACAGATCCAGTCAGGAGACATGATGTGAAAAAAGTGGAAAAAGTATTCCTGCTCCTTAGTAATGATAACAAACTAATGACATTAGTGTGTGACCGGGCCGCTCCTGGAACAACAACAAGCACATGTTCGTCTGTAATGGCTGCCGTCTACCGGTGTTCTGAAAAAGTTTGTATCCCTGAAAAACGTTTCCTCACCAGAGGGGGCGCTCGTGAGTAGGAAGTAATCTGCTTTTCCCCCACAAGATGGTCCAAATCTCATGTGAAGTCCCTGACTTTTGTGTTGGCGCCTCCTGGTGGACTATGTGTAAAATGTCAGAATTCATATGATGCTGCTACAGCTGATATATATTTGTTGTCAGAATACCTTTTAGTACATATGTTGTTAAAATAAAATGAACAGTCCAATGATCATTTTACTGATATGTACAAAGACTGCAAAGGCTGAAAAATCTTGAAGTCTGTATGAAATTGGAGGTAATTTGATGATTACATTTTTTATGCTTTTTAAGCTAAAAAAAAAAAAAGGGGGGTTCATATTACACATGAGATTGTATTATACACGAATAAATACGGTAATTAAATGTTTTAAATTGTTGGATATCCTGTGTCTCTGAGCTCAAGCTAAAACCCAATGAGTAACGTTTCATCAGGTTTGTCCAGTCGACTAATGAAGCCGTCTGTGACATGAAAGTTTTTGTTTTATTGGGTTGAGGTTGAAGATGTGACTTGGTGGAAAATTTTAAATCATTAATCCTTAAAGAGCCGGGGCTCTCTGCTCAATGCATGCAGTTCCACTCTTCTGACCTATCAGATCCTAGCTCTGCTACTGATTAGCCCTTTTAGTTCTGAATGGATGTGTCAGTCCTCCAGCAGGAATTTTATGCATTTTTAATGCCTCTAAATAGCAATAATTTGTTTGCTTCTTCGTGTTCTTTATGAAGGTGTTTGTGATACCAGTTACACTGCGTCCTTCAACATAAAGGGAAACTCTGCTTCATGTCCATGTCTGCTTACAGACTTAAAGTGTTTATGATCAACAAGTGCGATAACGTTGTCCAATAGTTGTACAAGCTGTTCTTTTAAACCTCTCGAGTCTGTCGGGGTTGGATACAAGTTTATAAATGAAAAGAATTCGAAGGTGCTGCGCTTCACAGAGGTGAGATCATCAGGATCTCACGGTACTTGTCTTTGCTTGAGGCGAGACGCTCGAGGCTACCAGCGCCAACACCACAAAAATCTGACTGAGGTATGACAAGACTGAARTCAATGTATTTAATTAGGCCTACTCGCACTTTCCCAGCCTATTTGTGCTTTCACTGTGCACCTCATGTTTTTCGCTTCTCAGGGATATTCTCACTCGTAATAAGAGCAACCAGTATGTAAAATAATGAAAAGATTGTCAATTTTTTTAAGAAACTGATTAAAAACAGAAAGAAATGCCCTACAAGGTTTGAAACATCTTTAGCTAAAACAAAAAGTCTGTATATTTTACATTTTTACTAAGTAATTAGTTTTTTAATAGTCATGATGCACATTAATCTGAACAGCTCACCTTTATAATTAAAATGATTTATTTTAATAAAGGTTTCATGGAATTAGTTGTCAGTATCTTACCTGTATTAGACAGCAGACTAAACTGTTTCACAGGTTTGGGAGAAGCACCCAAACCTGTTATGAGTTTTTAGATCACAATACGTTTGCATCACAGTGTCATGCAGAATGGGTTTGTGTAACAATTTGTTTTGCAAATTGTGTTTCACAAAAAGCATTTTGCAATGAGCTGCAGACTGTGTTGCAATGAAGCCAGTCTCCTGTCTAAATAAATGTAGATGGTACAAATACTGTAATTTTTGTCTCTAAAAAAAACATGCTGTGTAAACTCTTTTGAATGAGCGTTATGTCAAACTATTACACTTCAGTTAAATGTTTCAGTTTCAGTTAAATGGCTTTTTAAAAACTATTTATCATATATCTTCTGAACTATAAAACTATTTCATACAGTTATAATCATATGTAGCAACTTTTATACTGACTATTCCATAGAAAATCAAACTCTTTAACCCTCTTACATCAACCATTCGAACCCCTAAACCTTTGGAAGTGTTCACAGAAACAAGCTGACAACACAAAATAGCGAGAAAATTGAAAAAAAAAGGAAAATTGCAATTTACTCTCCCTCTGAAATCTGAGTGTTTGCAACCAAGTTTCTCAATGGTTCTGTAACCATGTTTTGTGTGTGGCCAGTTTTGAAAAAATCACTGGCTATTTTAGTGAGCATGAACTGTATTTTAGCTCCTTTCTTGCTCACATCGTATCTGCCTCAGCTTGCATTGTGCGCACCTTGGTAGCCGCCCCCGTGTTTTTGATTTTATCTGCTACTTTGGAAATGAAGATAAACAGATTTGGACATGTTTTTCAATAAATATAATTTATCATCTGTGTGGTCTCTCACGCAAGTGTCAGAATACAGCTCCGGAGAACTTTAATGACTGCGTGACTATTTTGAGAGAAAATCTGTCGCATACTATATTTTCTCCACGTTTAAAATTTCAGAGACACAATACGCTTTTGAGATTCACATGAAGAAATTAAGAACCCCCATGAYTGCTTCAAGACATTTTGAAAACTCCCTCATCAAGATAGAGATCCCTTGCAAATCGTCAACAAGTCACCAGCAGTTCCAGAAGTCACTGCCCGGTGAGATACTGGCTTTATCCCATTTTTCTCAGCGTGGATTCAAAACATCTCCCACCCAAACAAGTTTGTCATCTCTTCCTTGTTTTGTAAAGGTAGTTTATAGAAATCCCAGTTTCACAGTTTCATTGGTTTGCTGGTTTTTATGGGAGATGCAGAGGTGTGCAGTCACATCGCTTGATTTTGAGCTGCAACTTTTCTCTCAAATGAGCCACATTGGTCTCAAACCCACCTGTGGGTATCTACAGCCCATCTCAAGTGCTAAAACTGTATTTTAACATCTGCTTGAAATTTATCCTCAGAATAAAAAATGCTATTTTTATTACTCTCTATTTTGAAATGTATTCTGGCAGATAAAAACATGAATGTTGGTTAGGCTGACAAAAGGGGTACAAAGTGAGACAATGTGGGTACAAAGCCCCTTCTCCGTGTGCGTGCTTTTAAGCTGTTCTCATCAATACAGCATCAGCCAAATTTCTGTCCATTTCCACCAGTCGGATCCACCTTGGTGCTGGTTCCAGTGGGTGAAACTGATTGTTGTACGCTGACAGCTTAGCTGAACAGAGCAGTAGTCTAAAAAGAGCAGATACACCAGGAGGTATCAGACAAACTGGCTGCCTACGGTTATAAACATACTTAGAAACAGTGCTGCGACAAATTTTAAAAAATAAGCATCAGACTGGACGATAAACCCACAACGGCTTAAGCCATGCACCCATCGGAACACATTTACAAGGACACACGCATATGTTATGTTTCAATTCAGGAGCTGCATTTGTTGTCGCTTACGTCACCAAAGCTTGGGTTATACTTCAATACGACGTGAGACAGCAGGTCGGTGATTGTGTCATTTCAGACGTCTTTTTCCTGAGTGAGTATAAACGGGCTGAAGACGCAGTGGGACATAAATGATCATAATTCCTCCCTCTGCCCTCCCACAGCTCATATAACTATATAAACTGCAATAATGATGGCTGGAAAATGTGTGTGGTTTTTTTTTTTTCACTGAAAACTGGGTGAAGAGTCTGAGGAGGAAAGACTTTTGTTTTGTTAATGGTGGTCACAGAAAAAAGACGTGAACATCAGCTGCATGCTCTCGTTCAATAAGATCAAACCAGCTGCTCTGCTAGCTCTTTTGACAGCAGGCTTTRGARCAGGGCYATTCAACTAAATTGCTCCTGGGGCCACAGTTAATGCAAGCCAACACCTCAGGGGCCAAACATCCAACAATTAATGTCATTATGCAAATAAACCAAGTATTTCAAAGATCTTTGACCTTTGAAACAGTTTATTTTGCTGCATTTAGGCATGATTAGGGCTACAATGTACAGAATCCTATGTAATAGCAGTAATGATAATGAAACAATATCAAAAACAAAAATGACACACTATGCCTCCTGTTTAACACACACACAAATAT